GGCTTAAGCTAGAGTTGTGAAAGCGAGAGTGTCGTCACCTGCGCACGCGCGAGAATTGTGTCCTAAGCGACGATAACAACACACGCTAAAAACGCAAAGCTCATGGGTAGACACTATGGCCATCTGATGCATGCACAGGTGACGACTCCCCCGCTTTAAATTTATTTCAAACATATCTTGACTGGTACCATAGAACGTAGAAAAAAAAATTGCTAAGCTCTATGCTGCTTAATTTTGTTCCTAGAAATTTTCCGTATTGTATGACCTCAAAGAAATCTATAAAATTTCACAATTTTCAAAAACAGTTTACAGTATCCCAGTAGATATATTATGATAAAAGTCAGCACTACAACAATTGATATTGTAACATATGGGGAATATTTTAATTGGTGTTATTGTTTTTGGTACCTGGAATAAAATATTGATTTTAAATTAAAGTAGTATTTCCCTGATTGGGAAAATTTGATGCGTTCAAATATATAACATTAAAGAACCACTCAGACTGCAATCCACTAACTTCTTTGTGTGGAGTCCGTTCAAAACCCTGGTGGCAGCCATGTTTGTTTTATATTATTAGAGGTCGCTTACGCACGTAATCATTTCCTTATATGGCAGGATGAAAGTACCCCATAAAATATCGGCACTCTGTAACGTATGGCGTTACTGTCATGTATAATAATATGTATTACTGGTAGATTGAATACTCGCACATAACATTTTTCATGGTTGGAAACCAAAAGTACCTGGGTGTAATATATTTACGAATTAACATTATAAACATATAGTAACCAGAGTTACATTATAAAATCGCATGACCTTACTGTATTTGACTTAAATTTTTAGTGCAATGAAGTTCAGTCAAAATTGTATTTTGCATTGAATTGCATTTGTGTGTATCTTAGTGCTAACTATGTACGGTACTCATCGATTTGATTCAAATATAGAAAATCATTATTACATATGCATTTGTTTTATGTTCCAGTCAACATTGCTGTTGACTGGTGGTCATTTAATTTACCATAGTCTTTAGTCCCCGTTCGGACGAATTCTGAAAATGGGGACTTATAATTCGGTTTCCGTCTGTGCGTTCGTTTGTCCGGAGTTGTATTTCAGAATCCTTTGGACCCATTCCGTTCATTCTTTGCATGTTCCTAGTAATTTATGTGGGACATATGCACATGCAGTGGTTTAGTGATTTGATTCAAAATGGCCGACTGACAGCCATCTTGTTGTTTTCAAAATGTTGTATTTTGGACATGCTTTGTCAGTTTTCATTCAAATTTGGTACATAGATTATACATGTTAGGATACATGTCCATGACAATTTCTTTCGCAATTGGATCAAAGATGGCCAACTGGCAGGCATCTTTTCTTTTTTTTTTTAAATGATGTATTTTGGACATGCTTTGTCAGTTTTCATTCAAATTTGGCACATACTTTATACATGTTAGGATACATGTCCATGACAATTTGTTTCAAAATCCGATCAAGGATGGCGGATTGACAGCCATCTGACTTTTTGGCCTTACTACTATATTTCTAAAATTTATGTACCATTTTTATTCGTATTTGGCACATACATCATACATGTCACTTTCATAATCAGATCAAAGATGGCCGAATAACGGCTGTTTTTATTTGTGGCCATATTACTATATCTCTGTCACCCATGTATCATTTTCATTGATATTTAGCATGTCATAAATGGATACATGTACATGTCCATTCAATTTGCAATTTGATCAAATTTGGTCGACTGGCAGCCATCTTGTTTGTTTAAAATGTGATAACTTGTAAATAAACAATATGTTGTATACGCCATTTGGGACTCAAGTTTCAAGAACATGCTCGTAACAACCCCTTCACTTCAATATGACGAGCACAAAGAAAACTTTCAAAAATGTAATGCTGACTGTGTCATTTTCAATGACTTGTTGTATTTTAACATGTAACTTTTCTTTTTATTCTTAATTCTGAGTTTATTCTTTCATTGTACGAATTCCTTGAAGATTACCAAATGCAAAATAAATGAATAAAAACCATACATACTTGAGTCTCTTACAAAATTAAAGTGATTTACAATAATGTTTTAAACTTGTTTATTTATTTATAGTTCATTTATAAAAAAAAATATTTTTATTACAGATTTACTGAATTTATGTAAAATGGACAAATGTATTTGCTGTCTGATCTTTCTATTACACAGTGTCAGTAGCACGATAAATGAAGAAACAGAGTAAGTTGTTATTATCTTGTGTGATGCATTTGTTTCACAATCCAAGATGGCAGAATGGTGGCCATTTTAGTGCTAAAAATTCATCAAAATCAAGCATTTCTGCCATTCTGGAACTAGATCTCAGTCATGCATGGACATATTTTTTTCAAACTTATGTCAATTGAACATGAGTCTTTGATACACATAATTTTTTTTAGATCCGATTGTAAATGGCCAACTGGTGGCCATTTTGTTTTTGCAAATGCAGATCCAGATCAGATCACGCACATCAAAGCACATAAACCTGTGGGTAATTCAAGAGTACATAGATTTGGTTTGTCATATCTCTCGTGCGTCTAATCAGAGTTAAAGTAGCATCTGGAGGGAGGTAACATTTTTATTTCAAATTTTATCTCATTGTCCAAATCGCAAGGTTTCGCTGAAGCCAGTCATTCATAACTGGCCCAGAACTCGTGCGTGATCGTGTTAGGAAAAGCTTTATTTCACGGCAGTTAAATTGAGTCATCTGATTGGACGCGCCAAGGAGCTGGCGCCACCAATCAGGGTTGCTGTGTCATAAATGTGAAGGTCGGGAGCTCATCACAGATTAAAACAATGGTGCCGTGTAGGCTTTGCTCTGATTCATCTGGAGTCAAGAACAGAAGATCTATATTTATTCATTTCCAAAATTTAATATTCCAGCGTTGAAAATTGTTTGTGGGCAAGTGAATGAGGACGATGGAATGTCAATTTGTTTTAGTAAACTGACAAAACTGTCGAAACTGATAACATATCGACTTGCCCGATTTGGTCTTCGCTGCAATAAAGTCGAGGTACTGTGTTTACAACAAACACGTCATTTTTCTTAAATACAACACTAAGTGTTTTCTTTTGATGATCAGTAAGCTCGTTCAGAGAAAAAGCAAACAACACATTTATTGATTCCGCCATTTTAATTTTACCTATAGTCTTTGATTTTACGAAGTAATGTGTAGTTTCTTTCGTGAGTTCTGATTGGATGATGCAAATGAGCTACAGTAAATCTTCTAATCATTTGAGGGCGTGCGACATACAGTAAATCGTGGTGAAATCTGCCAAGGGATAATGTTGAGGCTTCGGTCGAATAAATGGTCCTTGGCTGGTGAAGATGATTTTATCTGTGCAGATATGTTTTAAATCCACCCTCACCCAACCATTTATGAATTATTTAATACCTATTTTACAGACATCTAGGTCTTCATCTTGGTGATAAATTAGACTTTGATGAAGAGGGCGCTAGACATCTGTATGAACATCTCAGCGAAATCATCGACTTACCTGATGACTTCCAATATGGAAAGTTTTCTAATGAACAAGGTTAGTGCAGTAGTCATTTTGCATGACCCCCAGAAGGTCACATATCCTAGGCTAGTAAAAAATAACTACTGATAAAAATACCTTATTTTTTTTCCTAAAAAAATTGAGGTATAATATTGAGATACTTCTGTGATAAAACTATACTCCTAAAAAGTACCAGGATATGTGACCTTTAGGGGTCATGCATAAGTACCAGGAGATGTGACCTTTAGAGGTCATGCATTAGTACCAGGATATGTGACCTTTAGGGGTCATGCATAAGTACCAGGATATGTGACCTTTATAGGTCATGCATAAGTACCAGGATGTGTGACCTTTAGGGGTCATGCATAAGTACATGTACCAGGATGTGTGACCTTTAGGGTCATGCATAAGTACCAGGATATGTGACCTTTAGAGCTCATGCATAAGTACCAGGATGTGTGACCGAAAAATTTAAAAATTGGGTAAGTCGGTCAGATTTTTTAACCTCCACTTCTCAATACTTACTTGGCTGTATTTAAAAACTATTAATACATGTATGGGTAGTTGCGAAGTTCATTGGAATTTATGTTCTCCTTTCCAGGTCGCTTCTTCTTCTTTATTAGTCATGATTTTGACAGAAATAACAAATTAGATGGTTTGGAGTGTTTGGCGTTACTCACTGATTTCTACGATCCAAAGGATTCTAAATCATCTGGAAAACTAGTTAGCGAGTTATCAATAACCGAAGTAGTGACATTGGTAGACGAGTTATTGTTTAAGCATGATTTGGACGGCGATGGTTACATAGACTTTGCTGAGATAAATAACCCAAATGTGGAGTCTGTATGGACAAAAATGAGTGAAGTAATAGATGTAGTGGAGAAAAGACTAGAAGAAGGGCACGTACTAACAGATCCACACATACATCATCCATCGGAAGAAGAAGAGACCCTAAACCTTACAACAAAGATTTAAAAATACTTTCTTATACTCTACTTGAATAGTTGCATAATTGTTGCCATATATTAACAACAAAATTGATTTATAATTGTAGCCTATAAGAAATTAGGTCCATTTGATCCAATATTAACAAAGAAATACTAGAAAAATACATTTTTGCTGTAAAATTGTAGCACATGGCTTATGTACATTAGTTTTTTCTACTCTATAGAGAAAATAAGTCATATTTTGATGATCTAGCATACAAACCATGCAATTTTTGGTTTTCAATGTGCTTTTGTAGGTGCACTTCGAATAGATCAAATACTAATGTTCTTTTCTCTTGCACTAGTATATTTACATGTTTTCATCTTATTTTTTTCAATACTTTATTCCATGAGAGTGACTGTTAATACACGCACAGACTACTCTTAAGAAGCAAAAGTACAGATTGACGCATTTATTATGGAGTACAGAGGAATAAACGTAGCAAAACTATGGATGCTTTGTCTCATTTAAAATCTTTTTTTTTTTTGCATTTGTCTGTTTTCTGGTCGCTGGAATTGAAGGCTATGTCACAATACCGACCACTGTGGAGCTCAAGGTTGATAATCAATCGCTGATTGAGGTCGCAAAGAGTTTTTAAGGACTACCTACTCTTATACCCAACCTTAACCTGAATCCTAACCCCCAAAAGTAATTGTATATGCCCCTACAGATAAGCATTCAGGGGCATCTATAATTCAAATAAAAGACAAGGTTCTAGGGAACTTTTACAAAGGCTGCCAATATTCAAATATCACTACAACTATATACATCTGTGGATATGCTTCAGGCATTCTGAGAATACATTTTTTTTTTTAATTGCTGAATAGTCTTGCTTATAGGGAGAGTACGTTTGTCTATTACATTTTGCAAAAATTTACAGAATTTTTAGCACTTCACTGGACTGAGCTAAATTTGACATTCAGATCACATATTGCAAAACATTCTTTAAAACAAATTCAAAGACGCTTTAGGAATTTAGTTGGGTCTATGGCCATGCATGAAAATCACACAAATTCACTGTTCAGGACCTGGATCTCATTCATGTGAACAAATTTTGCTTAAACTTGGTACAATGTGACCTTGACGCACGTTATTTAATAATTTGTAAATTGGGTTCAAAATGGACGACTGGCAGCATCTCAAAATGTTATCTTTGGTCGGACTTTATATCACAGAAGAGTCCTTGTAGCCTTGCTTAATCCTACAACTTAGAATAACCATAGTCTGACAAAGTGATCTGCATTTAGCACAGCATTTTAGACTTTCTAAATTATAAAATGACAAACCACTCTCCCACAGTACATTTCACAAAGCGCACATATTTAAGTATTGAACTGCTCGAGGTAACTGATTTGGGCCTTTAAATAACTAACCTTTATTTCTTCAGTATCGACATTGTACGCAATTCAAGAATGTTAAAACAAACCAAAGTAACCTGTGTGCATGTCAATGGAAAGGCATTGTCAAGTCTAGATTGGACAAAAATCAAAGTTGCAACTGATTGTCTGAATAATTCTCAGAACTGCTGTAATCTGTATCATGTTGTCTTTAACTGAGAGGAGAAAATAAATTACAACACAATAAATGCCGGTGTAATTGCTAGATTTTAATACAGTCAACAAACACAGCAATACATGGAACAAATTTACTCATTTTCTTCACTACGAAGTCTGGCATTAGCGTTTGTAACTTTGATGGCTAATTGCTGTGCACGTTCCACGATCGTTTTCCTTTTCCTGCTGGACACATTATGAGCGATCTCGGCAGCGTACTTCCTGTTTGACATCATCAACACTTCCAGCTCCTACAGAGAAACAAAATTATATTTTTACCTGGTGTTCGACAAGACCCTTGTTACATAAATATTACCTTGTGTATCTATCAAAAATTAAACAAATTCAGTAAAGCATGTACGAGAAATTATGTCAAGATAGCTTATATGAATGTGCCTTTATCAAAAGCTGTCCAAGGAATTGTGTGTTGTCCGAATGTTTACATAACTATGAAAGCTAACAAAGGTGCGCGTTCCATACAACATCAACGATTTATTTGTGCATGTGTGTATTTTGCATTGTGGCTAAATCCTCCTTATTTATCCCCACTGAGTGGTCAGACATGCAGTTTATAACCATATATCATTTACATCATTAGCACCATGCATGCTTATGTACATGACGAAACCTAGAGATTAAATAAACTGCTCTGGATTAATACTTTGATTTTGCATAAACCCATGATTGATGACCATTTTGGACACCCATAATGACTGTTTGAAACATGCTTTGTTGTCATTTTTACGGCAAAATTACGCTAAAATTATTGTCTAAAAAGTGGAAAACCACGAATCAATGTACCACACACTTGAGAATCATTTGCATACTGAAATCTGGCGACCATCTTTTTATTTATACACCCAGTGTCGCAGTTTAAAAGTTAGGTCAAGATGAATTTTTTTTTTTTTCAAGTCAAACAAAATTCAATTGTCAGTATCTCAAATACAAATATGTAAGACTTTGAAAGATTCAAACTGTTTTGTGCATTGCATCAAAGAAGAGTCAACATTTGCATTGTCTGAAAGCAAGAAACCACAAACTGAGAATGTAATCCATGCCATATTTCATCTTAAATCATAGAACTTAGGACTAAGGTCTATGCTTAAATATAATACAACGAATGACAAACACAGCTACACATGTATCGTCACAACTAGGTGCTTTTTTTTATCGGACAAACCAAACATGTCCCTGGAAGTTCAAAGTTATGTGATCAAAGACAACCTATTCAAGATAGTGAGAAATTAATTCAATTCTACTTACTCTGACGTTGTGAACAAGAAACTTATGAAAGCCATCGGGCATCAGATGTTTTGTTTTTTTGTTAGTACCATAACCGACATTAGGCATTTTATACTGTCCCTTGAATCGTCTCCTCACACGGTTATCAATACCCTTTGGTTTTCTCCAGCTCGTCTAGCAAAAAATAATTTAATAAATATTACGCTCAATATCTGGGCAATTCAAATGTCAAACCATGATAGATATTTTATGAAATTCTTTAATTAACACATTAGTGTGCAAGTAATTATTACCTTGATTTTATGATAACGATCTGACTGATGCCGTATAAACTTTTTTGTTCGCTTCTTGACATTTTTATATTTGATCAACGGTCTTACTGCGGGTGCCATCGTGCCTCCCTTTTCTGAAAAACCTGAAGAAAGAAAGACATTTGGTTCATAAAATATAAAAAAAAAAAAAAAAAAAAATTACCTCCACAACCTAGAGTTGCCAATTTCATTATTTTATGTAAACTTATTGGATGAGAAAACTACAAATCTAGGAGTAACAACATTTGCCAGTTATACTGATTGACATTAAATCCAGTTACGCATTGTTCTTCTAATTCTGCTTCAGGAACGTACTAGCACAACCAACCTGGACAGTACACAATTTACAATATATTTCAAGTAAGCACAGACATGGTGGCAAGACACAAGTTAAATAATCATCCTACATATTCAAAAAGGAGGGCCCTAATGGTAATACAGGAAACGTTTCAACAGTCTGGTGTGTGCGTCTCAGACTAATATTAATGAAAATGCTTCACATCGAATATTGAATATATCTTCAATCACTGAACACAGAATCCTGCACCTGATATGGTGACTTCATGACACCATACGAAGCTAAATACTCAACATAACCACACTAAAGAACTTTCCTATGACGTTCAGCTATTAGCAAGACGAATATCTTGTAAATACTGTAGTTGTTTCATTCACTACAGTATACATGTCAAAGGCTTCAAACCAAATTTTGCCAACAAGACTACTTTAAAAAGCTGCAAACCACCCAATTAAAAACCAATTACCAAGTTTCTATATCAAAACTCGGCCACCCTCATAAGTTGGTTTATGAATTCATGTAGCAATTTATTCGCCCTAAACGAATTACTGTTGTAACGACGAAACTTAAATGTGCATGTTTAATATTTGCTTTATAATGATAGGTCTTTCATTTTCTCGATCGCTAGCGTTTTGCGATAAGAAGTTCAACCAGCAAAAGAGGCACGACTACCTTTAACGAAGAGCTTTAAGAGTGTTCGTCAGTGAACGTGAACGACAACTTTAAAGTTTAGAAACCTCCACAGTCCCTCTCGACTGTGGTACATACATGTGTATTCATAAACATGAAAACAATATATAGCACAGTAATTAGAAGTTCATTTTAACACTTATGAATACTATGTTTTTCAAAAATTCTCACTCGACAACGAGTATAATGATTCCTTGTTATCGGAAATATTGGAAAATAAAACAGAAGAAGCTGGATCACAAAGATGTAAGACGATTAAACGAGACAAGCAACATACCCACGTACCAACTCAGAAATAAAGATGGCGGAAAAGGTCGATGGTTCAAAACAACCGTGGGATGGCGCTATTTGACTCGTCTGATCCGAATGACGATCCGAGTACATTGTACACTTACCTTTTGCCCAGAGACCCTATGGAACTCAAACCACTATTAAATTAGATTTATATAGACGACAATTAAAGCAGATCAAAATATTGTTTTAATTTGCTGAAACCACATGTGTGTAATAGAATTCTGGGCAGAAAAAACTGCTACGAAATGGATGTAAATAAACAAAACTTCACACATGGGACTAACAGCTGACGTAATGTAAGTACGCCCTCACGCATTGCGTTTCAGCTCAAAGGCGTTGAAAAAAGCCCATTGGCTAACAACACCATAACGTAGTTTTGTAGTATCTAATCGAGGGGGGGGCTCACTACTTAGTTATAGGTCACGCCCATTTACAAGTTATACTTTTTTGGTCCGATCACACCCACTTTTGACCCAACCACGCCCACACGCCCATTAATTTTTTGGGGGGCTAAACAAATTATAACTCGAAATTTACGAAGATATAGAATTATTCTACACTACTTCGTGAAACAACTGAACACTTCAGCGAAAAGATATTTTACGTACATTACAGTATTTTGTCCTTGTAACTGTTTTTATTTTCTAATAGAGCTAAACTACAAGTATGTCAATGGACTTCGTTTATTTAACAGTCACGTGACAGAATAGATAGAATGTTACAAGGGCTACAGAAACATGTACCGGTATATATTGTTATTCTTTAATCAGCACTACTTTCTAACAAGATTTTTTTAGTTTGTTTTTTTGCCCAATGAAAGTCTACTGCATCTTTAAGAGATTATTACAAAGAATGACTAAATTGTTGGATTCTAGAGGATATTAAATTACTCAGAAATCGTATGGTATGCTGTTAGCCAATGTCCAATTTATTTCTTCTGTATTTAAATGATGCAATTGGGCACATAAGCACCAAATATATGGTAGGAATATATAGTAGCTTTGAGGACTTTTCTGCTCATCGCCGGACTATGGTAAACATGCTTGTAGTACATTGTAAACCAACAGCCCAATACTTCTTCAGATTCAGCTTGGGGCCATTATTTTATCACTGGAGATTGAAGAAAATGCGGAGCTTTTACGGATGCCTCTCCGAATATATGGAATTAAACCTCAGACGTCTTTTTTATTGGTCTGAGATAAACCCACTATATTTCCGCATTTCGCAACCGCGTAAGTGTTTATTGAATCATGGCTGCAATTGTCAACAAATTAAACCTTGTTTTGCAAGTCTGTTTTCTTGACGTCTTTCTCTTTTCTGAAATATTCTTAGACAATTTTAACACAATACGGTTCATACAATGAAACTACTAAGCACGTCCATCGGCGTGACAGCATGGGCAAATGGTTAGCATCGTCATTTACTACGCCCTCTTGTGTCGGCTGCAAGCACTACTAGTAACTGGTTCATGAGATGAGGGCATTGGGTCTGTAGCGTTACTTACCACAGCCTAAGTTTGTGGCGATAGGAATCGCTAAATCATGAAAAATTGCATAAACTGAGATTGATGTCCCTATTTCTGCTTTGTTTTTCTTTTTACAAAGTAACGAATCTGGTAAAATAGTAATCTAGTTTCGCCTGTGTTGATTCACGGTTCCTGACAGAAATGAATATTTTCTAAATACATGCATTTCACAACCGTGGCAATGATGTCATACTTTACCCACAATCCTTTGCCGGAGAATCAAGATGGTGGACTACACAATACTGATGAAAATTTGAATATCTAGAGAATGACTAGTGATATAAAATAAGTGTAAATTGCATTTTCCGACATTTGTGGAACTCTTTCATCTGGAATAATTATGTTGTTTGGCCGGTCTTCCACACTTTTATACTTTATACTTTATTAAACACGTAAAATTCCCCAGGAGAAATTAAAATGGTTACATTTACACTAAACAAAACTAGACTAATAATACAAAACATTAAGACTAAAATAATGATTAAAAAATAATAATAATAATAATCGAAAAAAAATAAAAAATAAAAACTTAAAAAAAAACATGAATAGTAATAAATCCCACTAACAGCAATAATAAAGGTAGAAGAAACCATTGTTAAAAAAGTAATAATAATAATGATGCGTTAATGCATTAAGGGTTAAAAATTTTGGAGGTGTTGCTGTCTTAAGTCGAGGGCAGTTTTAATGAATT